AACGTAAATGCTTTGGTGTATCCCATGCAATGCAGACAACCCATTTTTCCATGCGTACCCCAACCAGACAACATGCCATATGCTGGAAAGTCATTAACGGTCCACATCAAGGCAGCTCGTAATGTGAAGTTCTGTTTACGGGATATATCATAAGTCCATTCTCCAATCCACATCTTCTTCAAATCATCAATTAAAGGTTGTAAGTACACATCAATTCCGGCTTTTGGACTGTGCGGGCCTGGAATAACACACGTCAAAAACATGTATGGTTTTGTCATGCACATCTCAGGAGGGAGGTTGTAAGGTGTTACAATAACTGGCCAACAAGAATACGCACTTCCTGACGCTTGCACGTATGGGGAAAATCCATCAGAGCATAATCCAAGCCTGACATTTCTAGGTTCTGCAGCAAAATCTGGATGTGTCCGATCAAAGTGCTTCCATGCCTCACCATCAGATGGATGTCGCATAGTGCCAGAACTTGTTTGGTTTGTATGATGCCATGTCATTTGACTTGCACTGTGCATTGAAGCAAACATTCTTTTTAACCTTGGTATTATAGGAAGATAAAACATGGATTTTACTGCTACACGCTTTTGCTTGTTGTTAACGGCTCTACTGCGAACTTGATATCTTGGACTATTACAAAACTTACACTCCTCTAACGATCCATCTTGAGTACCAAACTCATTGTCATAAAACAACATGCAACCGTTAATGCAACAGTCAATCTTTCTTACTTTTAAACCGAACTTCGACACCCACTTCTTTGCATCATAATAACTTGTAGGCAAGTTGTCTTTCGTAGCGGTGGAGTCCAACATCATTTTTTCAAAATGTTCCAGACATTGATCAGAAACATTCCAATTTGACTTGGCGGCCAATAATCTCACACACATTGATAGCTTTGAGTTTGACGACCCCTCAAACAACGGCGTATTCATCTCGTTCAATAATTGATAAAATCTTTGCGCTTCCTCATTCGGCAACTCTTCCCCGTCAAAATCTCCAGGTTCATCATATGTCACGTTCACACCAAAAGCATCCTCAACCATGTCACCGATCAAATTAAAGTTCTCCTCATACTCCATAACCGGTCGACTACTTGAAGCATGCGTGTTGCTAGTCTCTGGTACATTAACCGGTAGTTCTTCACCATTATACGTCCAAACCCAATAATTTTCAATGAATCCCCTTCTATGCAGATGACGTGTTACTTCCTCTGGGTCACTAATTATTGGTCTACATTCACATTTAAGACAGGGACACCTAACCCCTCCTTCGCTTCGACAACAATCCTGAGCAAACGCCCACTTAATAAACCCATCAACTCCTACTATAAAATTGGGTTTAAGTCCACTTCTTCCTGAATATGTTCTATCGTACATCCAACTACGATAATACCGATAATATTCCATACTGCACATTTATACAATCATTGTCTTTTTCATTAGAAATATTAATCAACTTAATAATATTATTCTTAAACTATTTAATACTATTCTTAAAAATATAAATTTTGCTTTTTTATATATATACTAACATATAAATAAATATTCAAATGTAAAATATATAATTTTTTATTATATAACAATAATATCAAAAAACAATAATATAACATATTTACTTTTTATTATATATACAACAATAATATTAGAAAACAAATAATGTAACATATATACTTTTTATTATATATATAACAATAATATTAAAATAATAATATAATATATATACTCTTTTTTTAATTATGTTTTTTATAAATTCTTATTTTAATATATAATTTTTTTTTCATATCTTTAACATATAAATAAAAAAATAAAACTATTATAATAAATATAATATACATTTTTGTTTTTAAGTATGTTATTAAATTTATGTGTTAACATATATATATATATATATATATATATATATATATATATATATATATATATATATATATATATATATATATATATATATATATATATATATATATATATATATATATATATATATATATATATATATATATATATATATATATATATATATATATATATATATATATATATATATATATATATATATATATATATATATATATATATATACATCTATAAAAAATAAGACTTTTAATTTTATGTTTTCTAAAAAATTTTATTTTAATATATATTCAAAAAAAATTTATTTTATACGTATATACTAACAAAATTTTTTTATATGTCTATATAACATGCAATAATATTAATAAATATTAACCTATATATATTAACAATAATATTTCTGTTTAATAATATATTAATATATAAAACATTCTAATTTTCATTTTATTTTAAACATTAACCTATAATACTAATTAACCTAAAACTAAAATTAAGTAAAATATTTTTTTAATTCACATAAACAAAATACATATACTACTAATCTATATAATACATATAAAATATTAAAAAAAATGCATAAATACCTCTATATAATTTCTTCACTTAATTTGCTTCTTCTTGTGTAGCTCTTGGTGTTCTTCTTCAAATTTCTCTACAGGTTAAACAAAATACCCTTTTTAATATTTATTACCAGTATAATAAATAATGAACAAATAAAATAAAAATTTATCAAAATATGAATACCTTATTCTTCTTCAACAATTTGGGATGGAGGAAATTTGATTTGGGAATTTGGGTTTGAGAGGAAGAAGAAAGGAAGAAGAAACGAAGAGGAAAGGAAGAAGAAAGGAAGAAGAAACAAACCACACCAGATGCTGTAACATGAGAATTTTGTGGAGATGTAAACATCAAGTAGCGACGTGACTGTCACGTCGCAACATTGCCACGTGATACTCACGTCGCTACACACTCAACAGAAATATAATTCATTTTCCCACTCTGCCACCCTGTAATCAATCAACTTTAATTTCCCCCCTTTAATGTAGCGGCGTGGCTATCACGTCACTACCAAATTTCAAATTTCCCCCTTCTGTAGCGACGTGTAAGACACGTCGCTGATTTTTTTACTAAACAACCTTCTCTGACTTGTTTTATTTATCATTAAAATATGTTTGTGACGTGGTTATCACGTCGCAACTGCATTTATTACTCACGTGATAACCACGTCGCTAATATATGTCGCTGGGGACCATCTTACTTGTAGTGAATAGAGTTCGCTAAGTCACGAACTTCAAAGAAGGACCAATAATCTATGTCTTGACTATTAAAGCCAAATACATCTCCACTATTGTATCTAATGTCTGGGTCTTTTACAAAATAACCCTTTGTATAAAACACCATCTTAAATATACTCATTTCATGTACATAATGTTACCAATTTAGGATTAAAATTTACCAATTTTAACTCAAACACAATTAGGTTTCAAAATTATCAACTTATGTTAAACACTGATTAGGGTAAAAATTTAGGAATTTAGTACAAACAAGTATTTTACCTACTACATAATCAAATATGAAATACTAACTACTAGAAGAACAAGATACGAAATACATATTTTTAACATTACAAATACACAGATTTCAACTCTACCATTATTAAATTGGGACAAAGTGAAATATCTGGGACCACGAGAGACAAAGGAACCAAAGAAAATGAGGGACCACACAGAGACAAAAAAACGAAGGACAAATGAACAGGGACCACCACCACAAGTCGTTCTCTGGAATACAACTAGGGCTTCGATAGGAGAAGAGAATGCAACTTGCAGAAAAGTATTTGTTTAAAAATTTGGAAATGAGTGGCAAGCAAGTGAGTTTATCACTTAACATTATCTTTTTCCACGCTCGTGATTCTTTTTTTTATTATTCCATGTCACACATGCCACGTCATCCTCCGTTAGTGAAAACTAACAGGAGTGACCATTTATGGGGACGGTAAATTTTACAGGGACTACAAATCAAAAGAAAATTTTATAGAAACTAAAATTGTAGAATTATATATATTTATATAGACTAAAAACGTATTTAACCCTATTATAAAATACTATATATAAAAGATTTTGACCTCGTTGTAAAATTAGTCCAGTATCCATTAAATTAACAAGCCAAGCTATCATCAACTTTAATGTTGAAAAGGTGATGAAAATTTGGGTACCTCAAGTGGGGGGATATGTTTGTGTTTTGGTAGGCGTACACTTCAAGTTCAAGTATCTAAACCACTATCTAATCAAACAAATTCTCTGTCATAAGGAATAAAAGATCTGTAACTAAAACTCAATACTTTTAATTGGTCACATGGCATCCACATTCTTCTCTTGCATTAATTTTTCTAAAGTGCGGACACTTACAAAGTGCGGACACTTACTTAAGAAATCCTATTAATTTATTTCTAACTACACATTGAATATGGCAACCAATTAGATATCAATAATCACATGTTTTATTTCTAACTACACATTGAATATGGCAACCAATTAGATATCAATAATCACATGTTTTATTTCTAACTACACATTGAATATGGCAACCAATTAGATATCAATAATCACATGTTTTAAGTGTAAAGAAGTGTAAATTTAAGGATTCAAACTCACTTTATAACACATACAAGTTATAACAAATAAAATGTTTCTCCAAACGTCAACTGAATTATCATAAACTACTTAAAATCATAATTATGAGGCAAACAAATTAGAATACTTCATCTGATCTCTTCCATATATATTCTGATATTATTAGATGATATACTAATTATCTACCCACTCCACCACCAATAAATAACAACTATGAAATATATACTATTGCTGTTTAGCTGGAGGTTCATTATATTAAATCACAAATTATTACAACAATCATAGGAAGCTGCGGTTGTTTAATATTTTCTGTCGGCCATGGTTGAGAAATAAGCGAGAAACTGATTGGACCTTAATAGACTTAGATAAGTTCAATTCTACATATATCACATGGCACATGTCTAAGTTGTCTTAAATATTCAAAAATGAGCTTGTAGAGTTATTTTAGTGTATGTAGTTGTCTATATAAAGACACAGTACAACCTAAAATGCCAAACAAAGTATGTTGTTTAAAATGTGTATGGGTGCTAGTGCTTGTAATGCAAAGCATTTGATCTTGGTTTTACTTGTTTGGAGCAGTGTTTGTGCTTTGATGAGTGGTATTTCTCATGGGGAAAATATAGATGGCAGTAGTTTTTCTGATCCTAGTCATTGGAGTCATGGTGGTGACAGTGATGATGATTATTGTTTATATAGAAGTTGGAGGGGATGTGGGAGTTTCTATGGGAGAGGTGGTAGACATTCTAAAAGTGAGGATGATGCTGGAGGTAGTGGTGGGGGTTCAGGACATGGTGAGGGTTATGGTGCAGGTGAAGGAAACAATGGGGATGGTGAAATAGGTGGTGGAGGAGGGGGAGGGGGAGGAGGAGGAGGTGGTGGTGGAAATGGTGCGGGGTATGGTAATGGTTTTGGTGTTGGAGCAGGGTTTGGAAATGTTGGAAAAGGAGGTGGTGGTGGAGGAGGAGGTGGTTTTGGTAATGGTATAGGTAGTGGAGGGGTAGGTCGAGGTAGTGGTTTTGGAATGGGCGGGGGTAATGGAGGAGGAGGAGGTGGAGGAGGAGGCGGAGGAGGCGGCCAAGGTCAGGGGAGTGGTTTTGGAGCAGGTGGAGGAATGGGTGGCTTAGAAGGAGGTGAAGGAGGAGGAGGCGGTGGTGGTGGTGGTGGAGGATCAAGTAATGGAGAAGGAGGAGGACATGGTCATGGCAGTGGTTTTGGTATGGGTGTAGGTGCAGGAACAGTTGGCATGGGAGGGGGAGGTGGTGGAGGCTGGGGTGAAGGAGGTGGCAATGGAGGTCTAGGATATGGTAGTGGTTTTGGCGCAGGTGTCGGTGGTATGGGAGAAGGAAAGGGTGGTGGAGGTGGAGAAGGTATCAGTGGAGGAGAAGGTGAAGGTCATGGAAGCGGTTTTGGAGGAGGTACAGGAGGAGGAGGAGGCGGCGGTGGAGGAGGTGGTGGTGGTGGAGGGTATGGCCATGGTAATGGCTTTGGTGCTGGAATGGATAGAAGTGGAGGTGATACCACTCAAAGGAAGGGAAATAATCATGGTGGTAACAATGGCATGGGCATGGGTTTTGGCATGGGCATGGGTTTTGGTTTTGGAATGGGGAGCAATGGAGTAGGTGTAACTTCTCATGTTGATCCCAACGATCCTTAGATTGATATAAGTTGTCAGTGTTTGGCAACGGTTTGAAAAATCTAATTTACAATATTGTTGGAAAAAGTATCTAATAAAAGAGATATTGCAGCTAATAAAAGAGATATTGCATCTAATTGTGTTGTATGTTATCACCTTATCTTATTAAAGATATCAAAATTTACGATATCATTTACTAGTAAAACATTTGTGCGCACAAGTCAGGTATCATTGTTCCGAATAGATAGCATTTTCATAATCTAAATATAGTAAATTTTTTTCTACCCCAGTTAAATTTAATGATAATTTACCACGTGTATCAATCAAAATTTATCATATAAAATAATTTTTTTTAAATCACGTGGTATTAATCTAAAACTTTAAAAAATCAAAATGAAATAAAAAATAATAATATTCTTTCTGTCTCAAATTATAAATCAAATATATTTTTTTTTAATTCATTGAATAATAAATATATCTGGTCTATATATAAATCAAATACATTAATTATTTAATGAATCTAAAAACTGAATTTTTCTTCTAATTTGAGACGGGTGGAGTATATAATTTGATTTGTAATTGGATGTTAGTATATCAAATTAGACTAATAATTCTCGCATTAAATGGAAAAGAGGATATTAAACCTTTTTTTTTAAAATGAAAAAAGATATAGATAAAATATTTTAAAGTTTTAAAAATTAATTTTATGCGGTAGAATGTCATTGATATATATCATTAAGGATAAATTATCCCAAATTTTACAAAGGATAACTTAGACATCACCTATAAATATTATCTACTATTTATTATTTATAGCAACAAATGTAAAGTATTGAAAACTTATAAATAACAATGATATAAAATATAACTATTCTGAAATAAAGTAACAAAATATATTTTAAAAGTGTTCTGGACTGGGTTTGTACTTGGCCCAACTTTATACTAGGTTCAATCCAACTATGATGCTCGAGTAGGTCTGCTGACTGAGCTTGCCCTTAACTATGTCAGGCAGTAACCTCACCCGTCGGGAAGACACGACTTCTCTGTATGGGGATAAATCCAGGGATCACGAGGAGGCTCATCGCCGGTCAGGAGGACCTCGCGAGCATCCTCCACTCCTCTCGTCGACCAAGACAAGCTCCTTGGACAACCCCATAGTTGGCGGGGAGGGACCACGACGACACAAAGGCATCGCGAACACCTTCCTCGTAGGGTTGACTCATTACACCCCTGAATATCACGGAGTCTTCTTGGTCCCGAAAAGACCGCATCCATATCCTCCTGACTATTCGGGGGAATCCATCCACGTGGGGGACCACATGCTTGCCCCACTACGTACGTAGAACATGAAAGTCTCCATTTTGGGCCTGCTTGCTCATCCTAACGATGGGGACCTTGGCCCAACGTTGAAGGCTATAAATACCCTCTCTTTTGAGAGGGTCAGATATTCATTCTTTCATACTCACTCTCATACTTGCTCGCAATGCTCTGAACCTTACTTTGACATAGAAGTGTCTTGCAGGTACCCCCCCCCCCCCGGCTCACCTCCAATTGCTGCACAACTCACAGTTCGCAGACCTTGACGATCCACTCTGGTCAAGTACGATCAGTGGCGTCGTCCATGGGAAACAAGCTTCCCCGTCTTTCACTAACCCGAGACTAAAACAATTCTTCAAACTCTTTTGATTGTCATGGCCGACCCAGCTGCCAACAATAACCTTGACTCCCACCTCACCGACCCCAACAACAACATTGTCGACAACATGGGAAACAATAACAACAACAACGAGAACGACTGTGACATGGCCGGTCTCATGCAGAATTACAGAGACGGCAAGACCGCCTCTTCCTTAGCAGGCTCTCGACCACACGAGGGCACCCATCCGCCCCAGAACTATGAGTCAGATGTTTTCCAGGAGGTCCCCGTCCCTTCGGGCGCTGATGCCACGACCAAGGCCCTTTTTGCAGCCATTAACTAGACGAATTACATGACCTTCACGCAAGGTGAGCGATTAAGGACGCTAGAAGACTCTCGTCGAGCCCCTAAAAGACATAGAAGACCTGATTCTCCACCTACTCGTTAGGATGAAGATTGTCTTCAATCTCCCCCGCAGAGACACAGACGGGACAGGTTGCGAAGCCTCTCTCCCTGACGGACTGGCCAATGCCCCACACTGGAAAGAACCATGCCCGAGGCTACTGGGAGAGCAACCTCACCCCCACCCACCCTGCTCAGGGAACAATAATCCCGTGAAAACAGAAACAGGGGAAATGTAGAAGCGCATCCTCGACCAAGGGATTATCCCCGAGGCCAAGGACATCACTACGATCGCCACTACAACCAGTTCCCTTCCCACTCCCTCTAAAGGAGCGACGAAGATGACCTCCGCGGTCCTTTATCATAAGAAATCATGGAGGCACCCATTCCCAGGGGAATGGAAAAGCCTCCCTAACTGAAGGAGTATGACGGAATTGATGACCCAGTCAACCATATCAACGGGTTCAAGGCAATGCTCCACTATCATAACATCGCGGGACCGATCAAATGTCGGTTATTCCCCACGACCTTGAGAAAGACTGCAATGGATTGGTATAAGAATCTCTCCCCAGGGTCAATCACCTCCTGGAGGAACCTAAAAATCTAGTTCATTAGCTCCTTTACAGCGTCTCTTCAACACCCGAAGACTGAGGCTGCCCTCGAGGCTATCATCCAAAGAAGCGATGAAACCCTCAAGGAATTCATCGATCGGTTCAACCGTGAGGCCATTCAGGTCCCGTGCACCAACCATATGAAGAGACATTTTCTTGAGAGAGGACTCCTCCCGGGCACAGAATTTAGAAAGTTCGTCGGCATCGAACCACCCCGGACTTTCGATGCTCTCCTCAAGAAAGCTAGAGCCTATATGAACTACGAGGAGAGGGAAGTGGCCAACAGAGCCGCGACCCAAGGAATCACGGATCGATCAACACCCTGCGACACCAGGACACAAGCCCTCCTCGACGAAGAGGCGAGAAGAGAATGGAGGATAAATCGCGTGATCCCTGCGAGCACAGATGACCCGCAGGCCGATTCACCGAGTACACTCTGCTAACCACTTCCCGCGAGCGCATCCTGGCGGAGTGCGCTAATACTTACTTCAAGGACGGAGGCGTCAAATGTACTCGATCTGCTCCTGCAAAGCCCAAGGCTGACAGGAGCAAATACTTTCAGTACCATCGGAGTCATGGGAACCTGACTGAAGATTGTGTCCATTTCAAAGACGCCATCGAAACCCTCATTAAGGGTGGCAGATTTGGGCAATATCGATGCAATGACGCCCCTTGTGGAGATGCCCACGAAATAAAGGAGGTCGAAGAGGACACCCGACCATCGGATGAGACGGCCCCCTTCCAGATAGCCTACCCTGTTACAAGACCGAAGGACTTTTACATCCCCGAAAAACACAAGGAGGAAGAACCTTTGTCCATGCACAGTAGGTGGGAGAAATTCCCCTCCTCCATGGTTATAACTGGAGGGGGATTCAAAGACATCTCCATAAACTCCACAAAAATAAAGCTCGACGAGTTGGTCGACGCCGCCCCGACTCAAGCGGTGACATTCGAGAAGGTCAAAGACAGATCATAACCAATCACGTTCTACCTCGAAGAGTTTCCTGGAGGGGCCCCTAATTCGAGCATTCTTCTATTGGTAAGGGCAAGAATGACTAATTTCAATGTTCACCATGTCTTGGTCGACGAGGGGAGTTCCGTCGATGCTATGTACAACCATCTGTTTCGAACCTTACAGCTCGATGATACCCACCTTTCACCATACGTGGGGTCAGACCTGTAAGGCTTCAATGGCTCGACCTCCAAACCATGGGGGTACGTTGATCTTTTCGTCACCTTCGGGGAGGAAACAGCATCCCGATAGATCAAGGTGCGATTTTTTGCCATCGACTATCCATCTCTCTACAACTGCATCCTAGAGATATCAACATTGGCCGAATTGACCATTGTGCCCTCCACCGTCCATCTAAAGATGAAATTCTACACGAAGATGGGACGTGTTTCCACCATCCACGGTGACATCTCAGCTTCCTGAAGATGTTTCAATGCAACTTCTAAGGGACAGAGTACCATCGACATCGGAGCGCGACCTGCCAAGAGAGCTGCTACTGCTCGACTAGAACCAGAGCCTGTCAAGACAGAAGAACAAAGGGCTCCACCCAAGGTCGACTCCATTTCACTTGACACCCGCTCCGACAAGGATGAAGTCCCCAAAAGAGAACAAGGACTCCTCCGACCAATCCTGGACGGAGACTTCGAGTTCGTCCCCCTTGGTAAAGACCCTCAGAAAGGCATGAAGATCGGCACCAGACTCCCTGACTTGGAGAGGAAGCAGATCAAATCTTGCTTGAGGGAGAACACAAACCTATTCGCGTGGAGCATTACAGAGATGCCTAGACTCGACCCTGAGGTCACTTGTCACCACTAGGTCATTGATCCAGCCGCTACAACAATAGTACAACGTAGACGTAGGCAGTCTCCCGAGAAAGCGGAGGTTGCTAAAAATGCTGTAGAAGACCTCCTAGAGGCTAATTTTATTTTCGAGGCTGGTATTCAACCTGGATCTCAAATGTTGTACTTATTAATAAAAATAATGGAAAATGGAGAATGTGTGTTAACTATACTGATCTTAACCGAGCATGTCCCAAAGACGCTTTTGCTTTGCCTAATATTGACATGTTGGTCGACAATTCGACCGACTATAAAATTTTATCGTTTATGGATGCCTACTCGGGATATAACCAAATTCCAATGGTGATGAGCGACAAGCATTGCACTAATTTCATGACCAGTTGGGGCAATTACTACTACAACGTAATCCCCTTCGGCCTGAAAAACGTAGGGACAACGTACTAGCAGATGATGAATAGAGTCTTTCGCGACGAGATCGGGGATATGCCCGAGGTATACATGGACGACATGATCGTCAAATATCGAACAGACACCGACCATGATGTCCGTCTCAAAAAGGT